AAATATGAAAATGTGCATGTTCAAAAACCACAATATTTTCTTTATTATAGAAGCTAAGATCATCAAAGTTTCAGGGCATGGGTAAAAAGAAGCGGCGATAATAAAAATGGCATCAAAACATTGCAGGCCTACGATGTTGCGCTAGGCCGTACCTATTGATTTTTTATTAACACACGGGTGAATTGCTTTTTGTAAACATTTTAAAAACGTAAATTCAACATTAATTCAATATGGAAACCATAATCAAAACAAGAGTTGAATTAAAATAAAATAAACCTATATTTTTGGGCACACAAATGCGCAACTTTTCTGCCACTAAACGAGCTGTTCGTAAGGGGGTTGTTAGGTATAATGATAAAATTATCGAATTTTAAGACGTCACTAAACTTGTGTGGGATATTCATTATTATCATGGTATATCATTTAAATGTGAGTGTATAAAGAAAAATTGCACATTTAAAAGGATTGTATTTGTTTTTAGAGGACGTTCTGAGGACAATAATTTAAAAGAGCCTTTAGACCCAGTAATCGGCACTTCAAAGAATGTCCATTCAAGGGATCAATTATATGAGAAATTTCCGCAAGATAATATCCTACGAAATGTACCCGAAGAACCCTCTGATTTTGACGACTCAGATGCGGATCCTGATTATGAACCTGAAAACGAAAATAAAAGGCATAAGACATATTTTAATTTACAAAATGTATTTGATTCGCATGAAACTGGTTTTGTAAGTTTGAGTACAAAATTGGATCTTACCAACGCTCAAGATTCTGCACCTGCCAAGGCCTCTTCGAAGAATATCCAAGAAAATGTCTGCAATAGCCCGGTTTTAGAGGAAGAAAGTACTAAAAACGAAGCTGACATACTCTCTGTTTGTACACAAGTGATTGAAGATATGTTAGATAAAGTTTGTGCAACCAAAGACAAATATAAGAAGAAAAGCATCATAGATCAAATTCATAAACATCCTTTATTACCTCCATGTAATAACAAATGCCGCAGGGGCTGTTCAAAAAAAATTGATCTGCTCGAAAGAGATAAAATAAGAGTTGCTTTTTGGACAATGACTTTTGGTGAACGACGGCTGTTTCTAGACTCACATGTTAAACAGTCGAATGTAAAAACCAGAATGCAGGAGGCCTTATCATCAAAAAGAAATTTTTCTCTTAAATATTTTTTGCCAGTTAAGATAGTTTTACAGGAAGCAGTTGATAACAAAACTGAAACTACGAGTGTTACGGAAATACAAACATGCAAAAATATGTTTCTGTACACATTGGGATTAAAAACAGATGGCATGATTACTACTCACCTAAGAAGTAAAAGGACTTCAGATAATGCAATTGCCAAAACCAAAGACGACAGGGGGCTTATTGCTCGGTCTATTTTAAACGACCAAAAATTGGAACATGAATCACTTATAATAAATCATATAAATTGCTTCAATCCAGTCGTATCTCACTATAACTTAAAACATGCACCTAATCGAAGATACTTGCCTTCAGAACTGACGATATCTTTTTTGTGGAAAGATTTTGGTACCAATCATAAAATTGGATATGATCTTTATAGAAGCGTTTTTAAGAAACAAAATATTGGTTTCTGTAGGCCATCCCAAGATGAATGCGAGGTTTGCACAATCTACGAGGCTCATTCCAATGATGCGAATAATTTGAAATGCAACTGTAAATATTGTGTATATTATCAGGAACATAAAGAACACTACACAGAGGCTAGGCAGGCGTACCAAGCAGACCAGGAGAAAAAGCTGGATTCGGACGAAAGAGTTTTTAGTGTTGACATGCAGAAAGTGTTACTTTTGCCAAAAATGTCAACCAAGAACTCGTTTTTTATATCAAGGTAAGATTTTTTTAAGGATTATTTATTTTTTTTTCGTTTTTCACTTTGCATGGAATTTACATTAAAACTGCTAATTATTATTTGGATAAAGTACTAGAAAACATACTTAAAAAATTATAAATATGCTCACAGAAAAAAGGAATTCATTTGAACCTCAAATTATCCTAAATTGCATTTTGTTAGATTACATAAATATTTCAGATATCTGATACATTGAAAAACGCTGCAATCCTTGATACCACGTTATTTATTTATTTATTTATTTATCAAAATTACGGAACACTCCATTTTTACCAAATAGATTTAAATTATAGTTTCATTATAGTACTTATTTTTTTTATTTGTGTATTTTCAGGCTTGTCGTGTTCAACGAAACCTTTGCCTCATTGGGGAATGGCGAAAATATTTGTGTTATGTGGCACGAGGCCATCAGAGGCAGAAGTGCAGCTGACGTGACTTCAGCATATTATAATATCATGAAAAACCTAAGTTCTAAAGTATCAAAGATTACATTTTGGGTGGATAATTGCTCCGCCCAAAACAAAAATTGGACATTATATTCATCTATAATTTGTTTTGTAAATTCGGATTGGGGGCCAAATGAGGTAACATTCAAATATTTTGAGCCTGGCCATTCTTTCATGGCGGCCGACTCAGTACACGGTCGAATTAGTTCACAAATGAAAAAGCACCCCAATATATACGACTTTCAACAGCTTCTAAATATAATCGAACAATCCTCAAAGAAAACTAAATGTTTAGCTCTCAATATCTCGGATTTTTTTCCTTTTACAGATGGTTGTAAGAAACGTAAAAACAACAATATTCCATTACTTGATAAAATTAAACAAGTTCAGTTTCGTAAAGGTTCCAAAAACCTTTTTTATAGGAATAAAATCTCCAATGAGGTATATATCGAATCAGATTTTCTAAAGACAAAATTTGAACCAAATATGCCATCCGCTCCACGTTCGGAATGTATAGGGATAAACACGGATAAAAAAGAGAAGATTTTAAAAACGCTCTGCCCACTGTTTAGTGATGAAAGAAAAAAATTATTCTGGACATATTTACCATCAAACAATAATTCTCGTGATTTATGTACAGTATCCGAAGTCTAGTATATAAGTTTAATATTTATATTTCTTACATATTTCATATATTTATTATTATGTTGGATATATTAATGTGTAAGCTACATGTTTAAGTTTATTGTTTATTGTCAATGATATGCGCACATACTTTTCATTAAAACTTTAGAAACATCTTAAGTTGTATTTCAGTTTATTTTAAAAAAATAAATTTAAAAATAAAATAATTTTTTCGTTTTATTTCATCGACTTACTATATTTTGTTTCAGTTTTAGTGAACTTAATTGTCAGTTGAGATGCCTAAGCATAAACTAGCAACTAAAAATACTATATTTTACGATTTGCTTAATTCTAAAAAAAAACACAATCTTAGCCGCAGCAAAACATAGTAAGTAAGATTTAGTTATAAAGGACTAACATAGGTTACTTTTTTTTTACTTTATCGAAATTTTCGCTAAAAAGTATATAGATTTCCATCATTTGTCTTGTTTCAGCTTTCATTAGAAATAAGGGCAATCCAATTTTACAAAATCTGTTCTCCTGAAAAATTGTCTAAATCATAGTTACTAGGTTTTGCCAAAGTACGGCAGAATAGCACTACAGCAGCTCATACCGATATCCAGTTTCCACAAACGCAAAAGAAGGCTAAATTTTTGTAACTTTTGTAAATTATTAAGGGGACACATTTGACGTTTTGTAGCCGTAGCTGTTGGAACATAACAGGTGGTCTAGGAACAGTGCAAAGTTTGAATGGAAAAATGAATGTCAAAGTGTGTTTTAAAAGTTAATAAAGCGTTGTCAAATACGATGGTAATGAAAGTTGAAGATTCCAACTCATTTATTCTGAGAAAAAACGCTTCGGGAACTACTTTTGCCGATGGAAATAACAAAACTATAACATACACTGTAGTGCTTTAAATAAAGCAGAAGTACATTATCTTCTTGCAGAAAAGTCATAATGTTTTCATGAGGCAATTGATCTGAAGGTTTTCATTATGGTGTTCTAAGTATTCCTACTTTCGATTCCGATTTTCCTATTTTCTGGGATATTGTTTTTGAGATTATTTGGTTTTTATTAAGTAAATCCTTCTTTCCGTTATTCAGTGTTTCTTATTGAGTGCTATTGGTTTTGTAGTTTCATTTGCCACATGCCGTACCCAGTACAGCGTACCCAGTACAGTTTTATGGAAATTCGATACAAAATCAGTGAAAACTCGTTACTCGGTCGATTATGGAGTCGCTGATCACAATGTCATAACCGGGGGCAAAAAGGGGGCCGGTTTAACAACTGGCATGACGTGTTGGTTGAAAAGTTTAAAGCTGTGGAGAGGAAAAACAACAACAGAACTCCTCAGAACTGCTGTAGACAGAGTAAAATGGGCCATGATGATCGCAATGTCGTTAAAGGACGAGGCACACGAAGAAGTGGACGGGAAATATAATAACGTAAAAAAAGCCAAAATGGTCTCATATCAAGGTGTTCAGGTGATACCAATCAAAGAAAAACGGATGACAGCTCAAATCAAAGAAGACAAAAGGGAATTTAATAACGCAGAAAAACAGATTTTTGGTTTGGCAAAAGGAAGTCGGGGTGTTTCTTCGATATCAACGATCAGAGAAAGGCGTATGATATATCAAACGAAAGAATAGTGAAGAATATAACGACGTACAAAAACAAAGAATGCATCATGCCAAAAAAGCGTTATACATTCTTCGGTATTGATCAGAGAAAACCGTTACTAAATGAAAGGGGGGAAACAGAAAATACCGAGAGGAAATAAAAATTATATGAAATATAAGGACACCAAGTCGTATCTTTGGTATTAATAGTTAAATCGCAATATATGTAAACTCCTTGGAAATAAGCTTCGATTCTGTCAAGTGTCCCACGGCACTTCACACTATTTTTTTTTAAATTTTTTTTCTTACAAAAAATTCACTCTGAAGACATATTTTAGAAATATAATTTTATTTCTATTTAATTAACAATTTCACAAATGATTTACAGAAATCGCAAGTTTTTGTTTAAATATTATTTCTGGATACACGAAATGCATATACTTATCCGTATAAACAAAAATTTGAGATGTGTTTGCTATCATCATATATACTTATATATCCAAAAATTTAAGAAAATAACTAAAAATTACTAATTAAAGAATCGAACAAGAAACTGGAACCATCTAGAATATCATATTAGGATAAACGAGAAAAAATAATTAGCTTTTTAACGCTAATACTACTTGTTAATTTTATAATAAATAAGTAAATTATTATTATTATTATTATACCCTAAAACAAGTAGCTCTAAGAACTTCGACAGTATCAAAGAAATGAGAGATTTGAAATAATTACATCAGTTAAATCACTCATGTGTATCAGTTACTTTTAACAACTCTGTAAGGGCAGTATGGTGCAAAAACTTCCTTGGAAATAAAAATAAATTACAAAACATTGCCATCTGTATCTTGAAGTTAATGAATCTTAGCCAGATTGACCAACAAAACTAGTGGCATTGCTGGTAGCCTTAATGGCGTTAGCAAACTATTTCACAAACTATCACAGGTCTCCCAGAGAAGCTCTGGGAGCTCTAATCATGGTTGAACAGGCAGAAATTTATATTTGTAATGTTTCTGTATGCAAGGTTAGACTGGCAATAACAAACATCTTGTTAGATAACGAAATCACACTTCGACGGCTACGACTATACCAATGAGTAAAATAAACTATGAAACACCAAAACAATCAGAACTATATAAAAAACTCTTTTTTAAGATCACATCTGTAGAATCATCAATGTCACCTATTCGGGAGGAAGTTGATTTGAGCGAGCTTTTGGAGATTGATGACAGCCTGCGTTATAACTCCATGTCTTCAGCTTCATTTTCCGAAAAGTCTGACATACTTGATTCGCTATCGGAACTAACGTTCTCCTGACCTCGAAGAGCTTCCTCTGTCGCGTACTTCCGTACGTACTCTGCAAAAATAAAGAACAATTAAACATTATATTACTACAAAACCTTAACGAAAACAAATAGATAGACACAACGTTTTTATGACTATCAGAATAGGGAAATCAATGTTTTAGCGAGAGAAGTACCTTTAAGGTAAGTAAGAATGAGAACGATATATGAAGCCCCAGGGCTGTCACCGGAATTCGAGACTCATCTTCGCGCCCCCTTTTGCCAGAAGATTATAGGTACTCTAAAATTAAAACTATAGTCGGACAATTTTCAATTAAAGGTGACTAATCTACAAATTGAACTAAACTGTAGCGGCAACCATGAAAAATTTCATTAGTAAATTCTTACCGGGGTCATTTTTATTGTGTATGCTTCGCTCATGCAAATATGTAAATTTGTAACCCATCTAAGATAAATTTGCCCCCGTAACAATATAAATTGGTGCGATTCACGAGTGTATAGTGAGACAAGTTCATAGAATAGTTTGGAACATCGGTAAAATTATCAATATTTTGCTGGTCTATATATATTCACGTTTTTAGAAAGAATGTTAATTAGAGAAATATGATATCTTAGTTTATTGAAGTTTATGAAATATGATATCTTCCAGATTTTACACATAAGTACATAGGCGTAGTGTATTATTGGGAATATATTTATTAAATATACTTTATTATTAACTTTAAAATAGTTTTGAGGTAAGTAAAGTAAATTTGAGGCCAGTTTATTCTTTATATAGTATTAAACCCTTAACGGCCGCTCAATATACAAAGAGAAATTTGACAATTAATTTATTAGATTGGATTAAAAACACAAATTAGGAATAAATTACAACCGAAAAGATTTTTTTTCTCATTTTTAAGGAAAACAGTACAATTTTTAATAAAGGAACATATTGTATCTTAAACGTAAATTAAATTTTAAGGTAAAAATTTTCGAAATATTCGGGGTGTAGATGCATTCTACACTTTTTACATAAATAAATAGTATTACTTTTGTACATCCTACATTTTTGCACTATCGTCTCTTTTTATAATGTGGCCAATATTGTCGAATCTGGTTTCATCTGGTAAAGCAAATTTAGATTGACGCCCATGTACTGACACTGATGTAGCGGTTTCTTCACTATTATAAATTAAAATTATAAATCTATGTCGGCTCATGACTTTCTCTTATAATATGCACTTTTTTATCCTCATCCTTTGACCAATGCATATCAACTTGAAGCAGAGTGTAAACCAGATAATATACATATGCTAATAATTTTTTTAAATCTATGTTATTCATTTCAAAATTGTGACGGTTATTCTCAATTACTTTTTTATCAAAAAGAGTGAAAAAACTTCAATATATGACTTGCCTACATGGTTGACTTTTATATTGTATAAATATCAATCAGACTGATGTTGAATTACTACTGAGCACGAAAGAATATCCGTTATTACAACTTGAGATAAATTTGGATTTACTATTTTTGCCTGGTTTTTTCTTTGGACGTTTTATCTGTGGTTCAGAGGAATATCATAATCAGAATCGTTAGAATTCCCAATCACTTGTATTTCATATGTACCTGCAATATCCGATTTTATTGATTCTTCACAAATAATATTATCATCAATCTCTTCAAGGAATACAATAATATACCAGCAAACGAATGGGAAAGATACCTGACAGAACTGTTGGCAAAGAACTGTTGGAAAGATACCTGACTGACGTGGCAAAGAAAATAATAATCAACACAATAACGTACCTGAACTAAGAGACGAAATAGAAATCAGTTTTCACGAAGTAGAAATAGTCATAAATTCACTCAAAAATAGAAAGTCACCAGGACCAGACGGAATAACCAACGAGCTTCTAAAATACGGATGAGAAAGTTTAACCCTAGAGATGACAAAACTTATACAAAAACTAATATTGCACTGCAAGATACCAGACGCATGGAGAAACAGCATAATGATACCAATGGTCAAGAAAGGAGATAAAGAAGACCACAACAATTATAGAGGTATAAATCTACTGAACACCGCACTTAAGCTTACCACAAAAGTCCTAACCAACAAAATCAATAAACTAACAACTTTATCAGATGAACAACAAGGATTCAGATCCGGATGATCCTGCGTAGACGCCGTATTTGTACTAAGACAAATCACAGAAAAGGCCATCATATGTATGTTTTATAGACCTGACAAAGGCTTTCGATCGCATCCAAGTCGAAGACGTCTTACACCTACTGTATAAAAGGAACATACCAATCAATATTATACAAACCATCGAAAGCATCTACCTCCATAATCGAACACAGGCAAAGATAAATGGAAAACTAACACAGTGTATACCAGTACAAAGTGGAGTCAGACAGGGTGACTCGTTAAGCCCACTTCTCTTTAATATATTAATGGACGAAATAATACAAGCAGTACCTAAAAGTCATGGCTCCAGAATTGGGAACAAAGAAATCCAAATATTATGATATGCAGACGACGCCGCATTAATCGCCGAGACAGAAGACGAGCTCTAAAGATTAACACATATCTTCAGTACAACAGCTAAGAAATACAATATGATAATATCAGCGGAAAAATCCAAATGTATGACATTTAAATACCCACTACGGTGTAAAATCGAAATCGATGGGAAAATAATGAAGCCGGAAGCAAGGTTTAGATATCTGGGAATAGATATAACTAGTTACGGAGATGTTGAAGAAGAAGTACGACAGCAAAGCTTAAAAGCAAGTAAAGCGGCGGGTTCTCTTAATGACACAATCTGGAAGAACAAACACCTAAGACAAGACACAAAAACAAAAGTCTATAAAGCAGGAATTAGACCTATATTAACATACACGGCTGAGACAAGACCTGACACATCTAAAACGAGACGACTGCTAGAAACAACAGAGATGAAAATACTCCGACAAATATCAAGGAGAAGTCTGTTGGATTGGGAGAGAAGCAAAAACATAAGAAGAGCATGCAATATAGAAGACCTAAATGGATGGGTGACAAAACGAAAACAAAAGTGGAACAAACACATCAGTAGAATGGCGGAGGATAGAATAGTACGATTAGCACGAAATAAGTCACCAAACGGACGAAGAAGTATTGGCAGACCAAGAAAAAGATGGTGCGACAATTTAAACAATTTAGGAAGCTAATATTGAAGAAGAAACCGGCTTTAAAGCTTACAAACTAGAAGGAAGAAGAAGAAGAAGATCAATGTCTTCTACATCAGAAACTTTCTAATCTAATCGCGGCGGCAAATAAACCACATTAAGTGGCATTTTCTGAAAAGGACTGCCGGGAAAAATTGGCTACAAGTAGCGTACAATAAAAAACAATGGAAAGGAAGACTTGAAGAGGCTTATGTTCAGATGTGGACGTGAATGGCTAGACGAAGAAGAAGAAGAAGAGGCATTTTCACAATCTGAGTCTTCTTCTAACAAAGCTATTAACTCTTTAGTAGTTAGTGCCATCTTCATTTCATATTTCGAGAATTTACTGAAATAAACAAATGCACTGCTATATAAACGCATTCATATGATAAAAGTTTAGCTTACTTCATTTTAATTTATATGAACTTCATAATATATTTTCATATTTATATAAACAAATAAACACAAGCAAACTTTCAAATTAAGTTAAAAAAAAAAACAAATATAACGTTTACAGCACACAGCAATTCTATAAATAGAGAATGATGTGTAATGATGTGTAATTAAAATTGCAGATTGTTTTTAGTCTAATAAAAAAAAATTATTTTCCAAAGATTTCTGTTTTTTGAAGTTCTGTATTAGATACTCTCTAATAAGAATAAAATTTTATTTTATTTTGTTAGACAACTATAAGATACTTGTTAAAAGAGACATGATAATTTAATAATTAAATCGGTCTTAGATTTAATTTTTACGTAATTACTTATGTGTTTAAATAAATAATTAAATTTTTTTTGGTACGCCTCTGCAAAATTGATAATATCAATACGATTTCGTTGAAAAGTTATCGTTAAGGGCTTCGTTAAGTACGATGTTGCCAAGTAATCACCTTCAATTAAAAATTGTTTTAGTATAATTATGTTTGCTTTCTTTATTTATAGCCCTATTTTGATGATTTTTTTAGCACACTGTGTAAAAATTTATCAATATTAATTTGGTATAGTGAGTTTTTAAGGCCGTATGACACTATGCATTTTCTTGTATCATTTCTTATATCGTTTCTGATATAAAAAGTTGTTTACGTTTTCTTGTATCGTTTCTTGGACGTACATTTGTGCTCTGTATGATACTATGCAAGTTCTTTTACCGGAAATGGTATGTAATTCGGCAAATGATTGGTCGAAATTTTGACACCTATAAAAATAGAACTGCAGTACCTGAGGGCCCCAAGCCAGATGCTATTGATTATTTTTTAAAATACTGTGGTGCAAAAATGAAACAAATAAAATGTCCTAATATTAAAACTAAATTAGAAACCACAATTTTTGAAGATATTCAACAGGCTGTTATGGAAGACAGAAATAATAAATAATTTGGTTGTAATAATTTATTTGTTTTTTTAATTACGTGTTTGAATGGCATGCTCTTGAAATTCTACTCTCTTATTTGGAGATATAAAATAATCCTTAAACTCATCACGAATTTTTAGAGCGATTATGTATTGTTTTTAGTAATACATCTCCTCCTACTTTCAGTAGTTCCGATGCTATTTGATCCAATCCATGCGATTTATTATTTTTCAATTTGGCTATTACTGTTCTAATCTTGGTTAATGTTGGTGGGCATTTTTCTCTGATGTCTGCTTAGTCTAATTGTATATCAAAGTTCTCCTCCAGCCACCATTATGACAGAAGTTTTACGTTTTTGCGACTTTGCGCACAAATTGGCGCATTTCTTGTACAAGAAACTGCAGCGGACACAAATTCTTGTATCGTTTCTGATATTAAGAACTATACGTTTGTATGACACTATCAATTTTTTTGTTATATCAGAAACGATATAAGAAATGATACAAGA